TAAGACCTTTCTTATAGAAATTAATGAGTAAGTTACAAATAATAAATAGTTAAACGGAATATTCCGTTACTAAATTTTATACTAACGGAATTTAAGTTATTTAAGGGAAGAAAATAATATAATAGAGTGTAAATAAGGAAAATCATTAAAAAATATTAAAATTAAAATAATATTAACCATTTTTCTCAAAAAAAAAAATAAAAACATTAACCATTCATTTTAAGAAACAATTATACCGACATTTTTTTGTTCCAGATAAGGGCCTAACATAATTGGCTCTTATTAAAATTGTAGATAATACTTTAGTAGCTACAACAAAAAATAATAGATATGCATTTCTTTAATTTAGAATTATGTGTCTACAATGCCTTTATTCAAATAAAAATAAAAATTATTCATTATTAATAAATTAAATAAGAAAAATAATTTTATTAGTTATGTTGGTTTTAGGGTTTTTGGGGCACAAGGAGGTCCAACACAACCGTTGGTTGGTGGATTCACCGTAAGATAGGCTTATGAAAGAATCTCTTGAAAAGCAGGAAGATAACTAGCAAATTAGACTATTCTTGGCTATAGTTTCTGGATGTTTTCTTTGCGTATCTGAGCTATGCTGCCCATTACACTCGGGGAGGGGTCCCTTTTATAGCTGACTATCCCTTACCGATTAAATACAGGTTTTAAATGCACAATAATGAGAAATAAGGAGCTAAGAGCCGTTGGGTTGCCATTACGCGATCCTCCCAACGGCGGGATTGACCCGTATTAACGACAGGCTCGTTAAGCAGCAACGGTCAGTAGCTAGGCTGACTCCTATCAGTGCCAACTCCTGCTGGTGCCGAGTCCTTGGACTCGGCCCCCACTCATCCAAGCTTTCTTCAGGGCCCTCTTTGAAAGCCCATAGCGTAGATCTCTTTTATCCCTTTGGGCCTATTGCAGCAAGCCCATTCTTTCTTCTTTCTTTGGGCATCAAGCCCGTTGGGTTCATATCCCATCAACTAGTCCCTCACTTTCCAGCACTGAGCCCACTCGCGCTAGTGCTGGAAAGTACCCGAATTTGATGGCCTGAATACCCTTTTTCCCAACTGTTTCGATTTGCAGTGATCTCCTCCTGATTGCCTGCATTCAATTTCTCTCATTTCCTCTACTTATATATTGGACAAGCGCTCTGCCTTCTTCCATCACTCCCCATTCCTGTTTTTCTACTAACCATAGGTCGCTCAAGCCTAAGCGCTAAGAAGATCGACTTCGACTCCGCGACGAGTTCTCCGACCCCTCCCGCGAAGCGAGCAAAACTTAACAAGAAGAAAGAGAAGAAGGCTAAAAGAGTAGCCTCCCGCAAGCGCTTCACAGATCCCTCTTATTCGGGTTCTCGCATGGCTGGGGATGCACCTCCTCCCGGAACAAGCTTGCCTCGTTCGACTACCATGAAGGTCACCACGAAGGATGGAACGTAAGTGGAGGTGGCTGTGCCCGAGTAGATGTCGTTCGAGATGACCTTCACCATTCCCCTATACAACTCGGCTGAAACTGCAACCGAGCGCATGCCTGATGCTCACTACGCTCGCTTTCTGGAGACCTACATCGGAGCTGAGCCAAGTGTGGCACCGCCGATGATGCCGGCATTCTGGGAGTCGGTCTGCCCTTCCCCTACCGACTCGAAGTCTCCAAATGATCTGTCATTTCTGGACGATCTTTCTTCCCTAGAAAAGTGAGAGTGCGAATTGTTGGTGCATGTCTGACTTTGGAAAAAGCACTTAGGGTTTTTTAAATAAAGCTTTTCCCGAGTGTTGTCATGTTTATAAAGCCCTTTCTATTTTGAATAAAATTTTATCCCGTTTTCTGCTTTGCCGTTATCTTTTTACTATCGCTTTTCGAATGTCTTTTCCTTGGGTGGATGCGCCTTTATGCTTTGCACGGGTACAGTATATCGTGTGTCGTCTCCCTCTCTTAAGGTGCGGCTGACCACATACGACGACTCCTTGAGGGTTTTCTACTTATTACTCGTTTGATCCCAGAAGATCCCATATTTTGACAACTTACTTAATCACGATACCTTTCCATATCTATAGGAGATATTGTCTTCCCCCAAGGCGAGAATATTCCTCACAAAGATTTGATTAATGGCAACCCTTTTTACTGATGAAGATTCTTGCCTTGATTTGCCTTCTCAATGCCCTTCCGCGTGCCTGCCTTAGAATGGCAAGCCCCAACTTTCGCTCCCCTGATTTTCTCCTCGAAATCTGATCCATTCAACCTATAAATGGGGCCTTTGTCTTATCTTCTAGCTGCACCTCTTTCCTTCATTCTTTCCTCTTTGATCGCCCTCCGTTCTATCATTATGAGTACAAGAGATGGTGGCCGGCGCTCATCCAAGCATTTAGCGGAGAAGTCTCGGCTTAAAATGCTGAGACAGCGAAAGTTGGCCCATGGGCCATGAGGTAGGAGACTCCCCTTCAGATCCCATCATACTTACACCGGACATGTTAGACGTCATATCTGTTTCCCCTGTCGATCAACAAGTCGAGCCGTTCATGGAGGAACTTCCTTTAGGCGAGTAGGCCGAATGGGTTGCCACCCCCCCCCTCTCTATTTGGTGTGGCGTTGTCTCCGAGTGCCCTTGAGACTCCTCTCTAAATGATTGACGATGGGGTGCCGCCGGTTTATGTGATTGAGGTACCGGACACCGTTCCAACTCCGGCTCCGCCTTCCCCTATACTTCTACTTGAGGGACCTCTACCTCCAATGCCTACTCCATCCGGCCCTTCGTCTAAGAAGAAGGTCGACTCCTAAGTGTTACCTTGTGATTTCTTGCTTTTGTTTAACGGCAGTGTACCTGCTGTCCCCCCAGGATAAATAAAATAACCATCTTCTTATGTGTTTGTGATTTCCTCCTTTTTTTTTCCATCTTTCATCCGTATAACTATATGGGTCAAGTGCCCAAGGTCCGAACGCTAAGTGATCGGTCCAAACAGATAAGTGAGTTGACCTCCTTGGTTAGACACATGGTGTTGGTCTCAAGGCGGGCTGACCGCCCAAGGTCCAACGCTAAGTGGTCAGCCCAAACAGATAAGTGAGCTGACCTCCTTGGTTAGACACATGGTGTTGGCGTAAAATCTAGGCGGGCTGACCGCCCAAGGTCCAACGCTAAGTGGTCGGCGCAAACAGATAAGTGGGTTGACCTCCTCGGTTAGACACATGGTGCCGGCCTCAAATCTAGGTGGGCTGACCGCCTCGTAGGCCGGGTCACAGTGCCCCGAGGCCACTCGTCGTGGCTCATTCAGATTCCAAACCCTACGCCCTACTTTTCGCCATTTGGGTAAACCCTAAACGCCTCTTCCCAGTTGTCGTTCCGCCTTCCGGGGCGCATTAAATGCCTTGGTACCATCATCTCACTTCACATCAACCATCACCACACCCCCACTATCTTTATCTAATGCTTCCTTCTCCTTTTTACAAAAACTCTCTCTTTTTCCTTCCTTCCTATTTCACTAAAACCCTCTTTCTCTTCAAATCTTCTTGTTTGGCAACTCCATCCCTCGGCGTACCTCAAGGATTTTCCTCCGTTCATATTTCTGGTGGACTTTTCAGGTTGGTGCCTCCCTTCATTTTGCTATATCTTCGTCTTCTCCTTCTTTTTCGCGTCGCACAGAGGCTTCAGCCATCCCCAGTTCTCTTTCTTCTTCTCATCCGGTCCTCGTACTACGGAGGTCGCCGCTCCACTAAGTCCGGCTCCGGTTACGACGGGTGCCGCTCTTCCCGACGATGTCCTTCGGGCTTCCGGTGCTTTCGAGCCTTTGGACTTACCCGTCAAATGTTCCTCTCGAATGGAGTGTTAGTAATATAATAATGTTTGTAGTTAGTTTATATTATATAGTTTATACTAGTGGTAGAGATTTAGTCTAACTAAATGTAGCCTATAGAATATGAGTGTATTGTATAGGACTCTCACTCTCTCACTGTGTAATCGTTTCAGTTTTCAGATTATCGTAATCTCATCTGGTATCAGTTGCGATAAGTTAGATCCTTTGTTTATACCTTCCCCGCAAAATACGATGTCAACCAATTCCTCTGAACGCACCATCACCACCACCTTCGGCGTACCGCCGGCGACCACAAATTCCGTCACGGCAGCGCATCACTTCGTCTCTACGAAGCTGACGATGAGGAATTACTTGTTTTGGCGCACCCAATTGGTGCCGTTCCTCCGCGGACAGGGCTTGCTGGGCTACATCGATGGGAAGACTCCGTGTCCACCGGCGATCGTCGTTGTTTCCTCCCAAACCGGTGACTCTACCACGACGACAACCACCACTGCCGAGAATCCGACTTATGAAGCGTGGATCCAGCAGGACTAGGCGATCCTATCCACGATCATCTCGTCGTTATCCGACGAGGTGATGCACCTTGCCATCGACCGACAGACATCCCGAGAAGTCTGGGACTCGATCGCATCGACGCTCGCTTCCTCCTCCCGTGCTCGTTGCTTAAGCCTGCTCGGACAGTTAGAGACCCTGCGCCAAGGCCATGGATCTCCGACCGAGTACCTTGGGCGTTGTCAGATGATCGTGGAAGCCCTATCCCTCGCCGGACAAGCAGATTCTGTACGTTCTCCGTGGGCTCAGACCGGAGTTTCGTACGATGGCCAACTCCCTCACCGCCTCTGGAGCACCGGTCTCTCTGTCGTAGCTCTCCGATTTCCTCCAGGCGTAGGAATTCATCCACGAGGATGATTTTGCCGTTGTGGACTCCTCAGGTGGCGGCAGTTCTCCGGCGGTGTTCTTCGTTGGCCGCGGCAGACACGGCGGTGACCAGTCGCAGTCTGGGCGTAACTCCGGTGGACATGGTGGCTGATAGAATCGCGGTAGGGGAAATCAGGGCCAAGGCTGGCAAGGCCGTGGTGGCGGTCCAAGATGTCAGATCTGTAAATCACACGTCCACACGGCCGTGTACTGCTAGTCTGCTACATGCGGTACAATGACCGTCCAGCCGGTCACGCCAATATGGCGGTTTCCAGCGAGAATGCGGCGCATGTGGCAGCAGATGTGTGGTACCCGGATACCGGGGCTACGTCTCACGCGACTCCAGACAATCAAATGTTAAGCCACTCTGAGGCCTACACCGGCGGGGATGTTCTTAAAATCGGAAATGGCACAGGTTTGGATGTTTCACGTGTGGGGCATACGGTTATCCCATCCGGGTCTAAAAGTTTGTCAATGTCTAAAATTCTCTATGTTCCAAATTTAACTTTACCATTATTGTCAGGCTATCGTTTTACTAACGAAAATGACGTTTATTTTGAGTTTCACAAAAATTTGTTTCTTGTGAAGGATTGCAACACTCGGGCGGTTCTTCTTAAGGGTTTCACTTCTGGCGGCCTATACAAGTTATTGGTCCCGCAATCTCCATGTGCCTTTCTTACCGCTCGTGCGTCTTCCGAAGTGTGGCATCAACGTTTAGGCCACCCCCATAATCAAGCTCTACAACGTGCCTTAAAACACTGTCCCGTCACTACAAATAAAGCCAGTTTGTCAAAGTTGTGTACCGCGTGTCAACTCGAGAAATCAGCTCGTTTTCCTTTAGATAGGGTTTCAAGCACTAGTGATAATATTTTAGATTTGTTGTACACGGACATCTGGGGTCCGTCTCCTGTAATTACTACTGGCTTTCTTTATTTCGTGCTTTTTGTAGATGACCATTCGCGTTATTGCTGGTTTTACCCATTACGGTTAAAATCAGATATATATAAAATATTTGATGTGTTCCGGGTGATGGTAGAATGACGTTTTTCACGTTCTATCAAAGCCATACAGTCTGATTTAGGGGGTGAGTACCGCCGTCTTCATAAAGTCTTCGAAAATCTAGGCATTACACAGAGACAATCGTGTGCCTATACCCACGAACAAAACGGGCGTGTCGAACGTCGGAATAGACACATCGTCGAAACCGGCTAGGCATTGTTGGCTGAAAGTTCAACCCCACAAATATATTGGGATTATTCTTTTGAAACAGCTACGTATTTAATCAATTACCTACCTTCTTCCGCTATAAACAATGAGAGTCCTCATTATCGTGTCTATAAAACACAAACTCCGTATACCTTTTTTCGTGTATTAGGATGTCGCTGTTACCCTTATCTTCGGCTTTATAACCGACACAAGATAGAGTATCGGTCAACACCCTGCGTCTTCCTAGGTTACCCAGTTTCTTTTAGGGGATATCGGTTTATGGACCCTACCACGGGAAAGATCTTTATATGCCGTCATGTTCGGTTTGATGAAACTACTTTCCCTTTTGCTTTGCAGTCTCCTGTTCAGACTACTGAGAGTCCTACTATAGCGCCCTGGTGGGCCGAGCTAATTGTTGTCGCTACTCAGTTTGCACCACTAGCTGTGAAATTACCTATGGCACAGGAACCAAGCCCTTTGGCCATAGCAGCTCCAACGGATACTCATGTTACATCGGGTCCACCTGCTGGGACTCGTAAGGCACCCTGGGGCCGGGGCAAGCCCCAAGTCCCACATACCATGCGTACTCGGCACAAAACACGTGGCACAGATGAAGAGTTCTATGTTCTTACTGCGTCCGCTGATCCCACCTGCTACTCCCAGGCCGTTGGGCACCCACAGTGGCGGGATGCCATGGACCAGGAGTTCAATGCCCTGTTACACAACAACACCTGGGAACTCACCCCAGCTACACCGCATATGAACATCATCGGCTGCAAATGGGTTTTTCGCACCAAGCGCAAAGTCGATGGTTCAGTTGAACGCTATAAGGCGCAGCTGGTCGCCAAAGGGTTCAACCAAGTTGCTGGTGAAGATTTTTTTTGACACCTTTAGCCCCGTGGTCAAGCCGACCACTGTTCACATATTGTTTTCTCTTGCTATTTCAAACAGGTGGACACTATGGCAACTGGATGTCCACAACACCTTTCTAAACGGGCATCTAGCTGAAACCGTCTATGTGAAGCAGCCACCCGGCTACGAGGATTTGGCTCGGCTCAATCATGTCTGTCATTTGCAATGGTCTCTGTACGGGCTAAAGCAAGCACCACGTGCCTGGTTCAAGCGGTTGCATGACTTCTTGACTCCCACTGGGTTTTTGGCGTCCAAAACGGATGTCTCTCTCTTTCACTACACTTTTGGTGATTCTCGGGTCTTTCTGTTGGTCTACGTCGACGACATTATCATGATGGGTAATGATCCAGGCTTGGTTACCACCTTACTGCATCGTTTGTCCACGACGTTCAAGATTAAGAATCTGGGTCCACCGAGCTTCTTCTTAGGGATTGAGACCCTCACGATTGGCGACAGTTTTCTTTTCTCTCAACGCCGGTATATGCAAGACATTCTAAAAACTCACTCTAGGATGACGGATTGCAAGGCCTTGGCTACACCGGCCTCGGTTACACAACCGACAACTCCGTCTACCGATCCGTTCGAGAATCCCACACAATACCGTCGGATTGTCGGGGCTCTTCAGTACCTCACTATCACCCGTCCTGATCTATTAACAGGTTATGTCAGTTCATGCATTCTCCCACAGATGATCATTGGAGTCTACTAAAGCGGGTCCTACGGTATATCAAGGGGACTCAAGATTACGGCCTTCAACTCCGCCCGTCAGCATCGTCTGATCTGCATGCGTTCTCTGACTCTGAATGGGCAGGTTGTCCGGTTGATCGAAAGTCCACCAGTGGGTACGTAGTCTTCCTCGGGGAAAACCTAGTTTCTTGGGTTTCTCGCAAGCAGCACACAGTGGCGAGGTCTTCAACAGAAGCAGAGTACAAGGGTCTGGCAGATGTTGCAGCCGAGGTCACTTGGGTAGTCTCTTTGCTATGTGAACTTGGGCTCTACTCGGGCAAGCTGGCTACGCTATCTTGGTGCCACATATTTAGCTGCAAATCCAGTGTTCCACACTCGTACGAAGCATGTTGAGATCAACTATCACTTCGTTCGGAACAAGGTCGCGTCTGGGGACTTTATTGTCAGTTTTGTTTCTACGAAGGAGCAGCTTGCAGATATCTTCACCAAACCTCTACCAGGACCACGTTTTCAACTACTACGAGACAAGCTCAATGTTGTCACCCTCCAACCTTGTGCTTGAGGGTGTGTGTTAGTAATATAGTAATGTTTGTAGTTAGTTTATATTATATAGTTTATACTAGTGGTAGAGATTTAGTCTAACTAAATGTAGCCTATAGAATAGGAGTGTATTTTATAGGACTCTCACTCTCTCACTGTGTAATCGTTTCAGTTTTCAGATTATCGTAATCTCATTTGGAGGAACAAAATTATGAGACCGCCCGTTTCCTCTTGGGTTCGTCGGCGGAGATTATGCATCCCGAGGATCGTGAGCTTTTGTGTAACACCCCGTGTTACGATCTTCAAGCCCGGATTAATTATGTAATTAATCCCGCTAAGAATAGTTAAAAAGGATTTAATTTAGTTAGAATCCTCTTAATTAATTAATGTGGTCCACAATGGACCGTGGACCCTTGTCTATATTAATGACCTTAAACCTGTTAGGAATAAAGAGAGTAGACCTTTTACTATTTAGATTCTAATTAGGAATCCCAAACCTATATATCTGTTAGGAATAAAGAAAGTGGGCCCTTACTATCTAGATTTTGATTAGGATTCCTGATTCTATAAATAGGGGATTAGAAAGCAATTAGAACCTTACCACCCATAGTTATATTACACGAAAATATTCCCAAGAGATTCCCCACCACCAAGCCTAGGGAGATCAATCAGAGTTAAATCTTAGAGAAGAACCTTAATAGCCAAGGGAGGATTAATTAAGGCTAAGAGGTAACCCATGTCTTAGAAAACCTATTTTCCTTGCTATTGTTTATTGATTGGCTCCGTTGGTTGATTGAATGTGTGATTTTGCATGTATATCTTGTTAGAGCTTGCCTTTAGGTTTATATGGTGAATTATTGCTATTCTTGATATTCTTGATGGCCCTATGTGGTTATTGATATGATCTTGTATTTAATTAAGTCTAGAGTTGTCCCTAGGGTTTATATCGTGAATCTCGTGTTGTGATGTTCTTGGTATTCTTGGGTGGGTTTATGCATGCTCGGGTGTTGATTCTAGCCTAGGACTTGTCTTTAGAGCTTTGCATATAGATTTCTTGATGTTCATGAGGTTCTGGAAGCTCCTGAACCATTATGTGATTGATGTTGAATCTTGGTATGTTTAGGAATCGTGTTGGAATGTAATTGGAATCATCCATGGTTCAATCTTTGTTAATCGAATCCGTGTTGTTGTTGATACGTGTTGGAATGCGTTTGGACATGGTTTTGGGTTCCACGAACGAACACTGAACCAAATAATTGCCTTCGTGGCAGTGGGGGTAGGTGGGGGAAACGAGTCCCCGCCACCTACCCGCGGGTACGTTGCCCGATTCCAGCGGGTAGTCGACTGCCCACCGGCGGGTGGTCCTCCACCCACCGCCCACCCGCTGGAATGGGGTGGCGCGGCGGGTCGTTTTCCCCCGTTTGTTGTTTTCCCATGTCCCGTTGTGCCCCGTTGTACCCCGTTTGATGTTTATGAGTCTCGTATGATGTTTTGAGTTTCGTTCTAGGAATTTATGTGTAGAGCGTATCATTGCTATTATACCTTGATTGTTATTGTTGATTATATGTTGATTGATTGAATGATGGTAGGTATTGTGATCATTGTGCAATGATGGTTGAGATCGATGATAATGAGATTGTGATTGGTGGAAATGAATTATTAGCGGATAGCACAACGAGTGCTCGGTTATCGTGCTAAAGGCACGAACCACCTCTTAGACTTGCTGGCTAAAGGCTTGGGTCATGGTATAAGCGCCGCGGTGCCATGTCAGAGTTATATACGCTAACCCCTTAATTATAGTGCTATAGACACGAATCATACGAATGGCACTTCGGTGCTACCATGTTGGTGGACTTGTTGGTGGTTTCGGTGTGGGGCATGTAGTTGCCCGGAGGAATAAGAGAGGCGATATAAGGATGGCCTGGAGGCACAGGTTGGAAGTGATATAAGGAAGGAGAGGAGTAAAGGTTGGAACTTGGTATAAGGTTGGAAGATGGATTGTGTGCTTTGATGATAACTTGCTAATTGTGTGTCATTGGATCTCATTGCTGCATTTAATTGCTATTTATGAGCTTACTTGTCTATTATGCCTTGCAAACGTAGGATGCATGCTAGTATCTCTATAATATTCGAAATATTGCCTTATTGATGGTGTCTCGAGTCTTGATATGGTTTTAAAGCTAGAGTTTGCTTAGGTTTAAATATGTACTCCAGTCTCAAAATCATTTTCTTATATCTACCAATATTGTACTTAACGCGTGGGAGTGTGTTACCAGCATTATTCGCTGACAGTTGTTACACCGTTGGTTTTTCAGGTGCAGATCAGTAGCTCCAGAGTGCGCTAGATGGATACGAGGACCTAACTAGTTTAACATTAGTTAGATGGCATGTGAGCCTTGGCTTGTACTATGAATACTGATTACAGTTTATGCTTGTTTAGTTAGTTTAGCTTGTGCGTCTAGGTTCTCAAACCTAGACGTGACATAGAACCCAGATACTTATGTTGTTAGTTCCGCTTTGTTGAGTATTAATGATAGTTTCGCCTTTATTTCATAAGCTTTAAATGTTTTAAAAATTAGGGGTGTTACAATTGGTATCAGAGCCTAAGTTCGATCCTAGGAAGATGGCTTTAAGATAAGACTTTAAGATATTAAGCTCGAACTCTAGGCGTTTAAGTACTTAGGACATAGGAATCTTAGGATGCGCGGTGAGATTGTGAGTTTATTCATCGCTTTTGATAAGTTTCCTATGCTTGTTCTTCGTTTCCTATACTTGCTCTGAAGTTGTGATATTCTTGCATACTTTTACATGCTTTGTCGCATATCATTCTTTGATTAATAATGATTTACCTTGACATGCTAAAACATGATAGACTATTGATTTTGTTTAAATGTCGTACTTGGTTATTTTCCTAAGCATGAAAGTTGGATTATGTTCCTAATTGATTTATTTATAGATCATGTAAGGAATTGCATATTGTTGCTTAATTATTTGACCTAACGTGCGTTATTCAGATATCTGTTATTTGACAAAGTATTTTGGAACTTACAATTGATGATTTTATTTGGCCAGGAATTGCTCACTTTTCCTGATTTTAATTATTGGATTATTTTGATAGTTAACTTACTTATAGCTTAATAAGTACTTGCATGAGTTTGCATGAAAGTTGTGGGAATGTAGCTTTATTTAGGAAGGGGGAATGTGATGTGTGATCCTTATGATGTCTTGAACTTTCATTTAAGTCTCCCGTGTTGATATCATAATAATGTTATTCCTTGAGGTTTTCCATGTGTTCAAGCCCCTTTTGTTTTTCATATGAGTATGGAATTGTTTGGACGTGGATTTGTGCATTCTTGGGACTTTTTCCGAAACGATTCCTTCTTCACAGTCATGTTCCAGTGGGACCTTGGCAGGAGGTCGACCTCCCACCTACTGCCCACTGGTACGTTGTGTTGATTTCTTGACTTTTTGTTTTAGTGATCCATTGTGCACGTGTGTGTCTTCCTTGATGTTCCTTATATGTTTAACATGTAAATAACAACCTATACTTGAACATGAAAGTTGATTTATTTTCCCTAATTATATATAGACAATAAATAGACAAATGCATAGGTACATAGGAACATATACATGTACGTACGTAGTAATCCTCGTTCCCCAATTTTATTACCTAATATCATCATGGACCCTATTACATGTTGAGCGTAATATTATATTCATAATTATAAATATACATGTACGGAGTTATACATATAGGCTTTCCTTAAAACATAAACCTAATCTTCCCTAATTATAGATGCCTGTACGTCATACCTAAGCTAAACCTACTGTACTAATATGAATATCTATAAATATGTGTGTGTATTTTAGTCCTTATCCCCATATATTCCTTCATAACCTATATGAATATACCTTATACGGCAGCGTGTATATGTACATCTAGTTAATTAGTTACTTGCTTAAATATATGTAATATTCCTAGTCCTACCCGATGGAATGATAACATACATACATACATACATACATACATACGTACATATATATATATATATATATATATATATATATATATATATATATATATATATATATATATATATATATAAACACACACACACACACACACACACACACACACACACACATACTAGCATGGTACCCGTGAGATGCACGATCAATAAATTATATTTTAATTTTATATGTTGTTATTGTATTAAAGTAAATGATTGTGCAATATGTTATGTAATAAAATATACATATTACATGTTAAACACTGATTCAAGTATATTGCAATTTACACATAAAGAAATGATTAAATTGCAAATTGGTATTTTATTTACATAAATTATTGAAAACTTCATGGTACACAACATTAGTTGTTGAAGTACAACAGATATAGCATGGTGACTCACAAAAGCTATCGATCCTTACTACGTTGACTCACTCAGTCACTCGAAATGAACATTGTCTGGTATTTGCTTATTCTATTTCAGCTTAATACATTCATTTTTTTTTAGAGATTTAATTTACAAAACAATGATTAAGTCTGGTATTTGTAAGCTTTTATATAGTTTCGTGATGCCTAACAGTCAGTAAACATGTTATAGAACTCAGATTTATATTGTTATATACAGTAACAGTAATCTAAAAGACTAAGTTTAGATGACTCTAATTTTAATGCTTATAATCATAATTTCTGGGTGTGTGTAGATTTAACAGTAAGTGTAATAGTTCTCAGTGAATGCCTTTACACGTGATTTATTATGCAAATGATGGTAAGGAAATCTAATGCTTTATGCAGTTAAGAAAGTTCTAATACTTGAATTTGGGGTAAACTGTGGCTTCCTCTTTCTTACTATGACCGATGAAGTTGTTAGCTTCTTCATGCTTCCAGAGTTGTGTTCTGGGAAGATATTAGAGAGGGTTATTATAATATAATGTATTCAATGGATTCTTTGGCTATTTAATGTGGCCATAACATTGGAATAGTAAAAGTTTTCTGCACATAATTTATGTTTCCCTAGATAGCATAGAAAACATGCTTTTGTCCGTATAATAATTAGAACAATATCATTATTTATGCTTACTTTTACCTTTATGGCAGTATGTACATATTGTCACTTGATCTAAATTTTATGCTATTATATACTGATAACACTACTTATATCCAGAACTGTCTACTGGTATGGTAAAGTGTTGATTTAAGTGGTACTATCATACAGCACTCATAGTTTAATTGCTTCAAACTTCGTTTTTGAATCAAGTGATACAATTTTGATTAGTGTCTTATGACTCCTCCATATATTTGCCTTGTAGACTGTTGGGTTAATATATATGACTTTTTACCACAAAAATATGTGAATTTTGTTTTAGTCTGAATTGTATATGAAATATTCCAGATATCTATTAAGCTCTTTTATGTTGTTGTCTGATCTTTTAATTCCTTTTAGTGCTGCTAATTCTTCCTAAAAAGAATGATTTATGATTTGCTATTGTAGGTGGATACATTTATGTGCAGTTGCTATTGTAGGTGGAAATGATTCCAGAAATTCTCTTGAAAAAGAAACCAAAGTAGTAATTTTAAATCCATGAACTCATTAATTTTGACTGTGAGACTCAACTTTAAGTTATACAGACTATGAGTTAGGAATAATTTTTAAACAGGATTGGAATTAGAAGTGAGCACTTAAAGAACAATGTTTGAGAAATCAGATTAGGGTAGTGGCACTGATCTTTCATCTCCCAGACTTGTTATACTGGCAGCATGCAATATATGGATTATGGTAGTTATGGCATAATTTTGCACATGATATTGTTGGCTCTACATTTATAAGCTTTAGTCTAATATGTTTTCATTTCTATTTTAGGTTCACGGGAAGCTGCACTGTGAAGTTCAATCCTTATTATGTAAGCCGATTTGCACAGTTTGGTACGTGGATGTAGGTCTTTGTTACTCTAAGTAGATTAGTATATTAGACTTTAGACTTGGCAAATTGTTTGGTCCATATGATATCTCATTTGATATCTATCTTAGTACCTGGACTATAGAAACCAATAAGATATACCATTTTCAAGTGAAATGACAATTGTTTGCCCATATTTGTGTGCCACCAGACACAACACTTGTCCAAAAAACATAATGTAGTTTAATACATTGCCACCAGTTTAAATTGTCCAAAAACCACATTTAACAATTGTCACCAGCCAAGTTTAGTTTACAGAGCAAATCAGTCCAATTTTTCCATCTTCACCATGCACTCTTTAGTCTTCTTAGAGCTTTGCGTAGAGGAGAACTCATCAAGCAAGGACCTCTTGACTGCTCCACAATCACTTGCATCACCTTCCCTCACTTCCTTGATAGGTAGTCCTGGACTCTCTGCAACATCCTCATAATCCAAATCCTGAAAATTTGTAATATTAACACACAAATTTAGAGCATTCCTGTTCCATCACAACTCAACTATTAAACTAATAGGATATGATTATCTCTTCAGAAAACCCATCATCCAGTGCCTACGATTTTAGCCGCAACCCAAAAGTCACCATACTACAAAGTTAAGATGAGCTAATAATGTTATTAATTTTTTGCACATATATCATAAAAAATTCTGGGTCTACTTACTTCTCTCTTTTCATATATCTCTGAAATGGTGAATACATTCATTTGTCCGAATAAGAAGTCCTCAAATGCACTGCCATAGCTCATGCTTGACATGGAAACTATGCTACGCATTGGTGTCTGCTCTCCTTTAAGCCTGTCAGTAATTTTTTTTTTTTTTTTTTACATACAGAATCATATGTTTATGTCTATAATCCTACAAATTGTGTGCTGAAAGTGTGTTACCTACCTCTCTCTAAATTCTTGAAACTCTGGAAAATAAGAATTAACCCAAATTTGGGTAACATCATAGCTGCTGCAAATCTTTATATCACCAGTTATTAAAAGTATAATTTTTTATGAATAAGAATCATAGTATGTAATATTAAATATTAGTTGAATCAAAGGGTGTCAAGAGGAATTTTAGATCTTACTGTTAAGGACAACCTTGACTGTGCCTTGTTTAATGGTTATAAATTACATATATTAGCTGTAACACCCCAGATTTTCAAGACTTTTTAAACTTATAATAAAGGTAGAATCTCATTAAATCCCAAGAAATAAATACAAGCGTACGGGGTGCTATGTCACACCTGGGCTAGAGAACCCAAGTGCACAGGCTAACTAACTAATATCCTCAAAGCGTAATTACGTAAACGTGGCACGCAGGCCTAAAGGGAAAACTATCTACTTCTATACTCCAAGTTCTAGCGCGCTCCAGTGACTTAATCTTCTATGCCTGAAAGCCAAATATATCTGTTCAGCGAGAGATGCTGGTAACCCACTCCAACGCGTTGAAATACAATACATATAGAGATATATATACGAAAACCATTTTGAGCATGAAGATATATCCTACGAACTCTAGCTTTAAAACCGGGAATGACTCGACAGATAAGGCCAGACACAAGCAACAGTTATAACGAGCATATGCAGTTCACAACAGATAAGGCAGATAAGGCAAAGCATAAACAATGATCATAACCCAACATGAACAATCCCCAATATAAATCCCATAGTCACATCCCCCAAGACACTCGTAATCACAACTCGTCCATGTCACAACACATAACACACTTTGTTGGCGCCACAGGACCAATCGCATGCCCATACATGAGGGTCAGCGCATATAGCTCTGACACGGCCCCGCAGCACCCTGCCCCGTATCGCAACACGGAGGGATCGATCGCAACCGACCGATGAACCGCAGCTCATCATAGTGTTTGATCGCAACCAAACAGTGGACCGCAGCCCAAGAGAATGTCATCTGACCGCAGCCAGGAAAGAGGACGAACCGCAGCTCGTATAGAAACGTTTGATCGCAACCAAACGGTGGACCGCAGCCCAAGATTATCAATCTGACCGCAGCCAGCTTCTGAACCGCAGCTCAGGATAACCAATCCGATCGCAACCGAATTGGGGTAACACCCACACATAACACATAGCAAGCACATGCAACCCATATTACACATTGGGAAGGGGGAGAAAGCGCATAACAAAACCTATGCGTGATCCATCACATACTAAGAATAGTCCTAAGGGGTTCATACTCCTTCCACCTAGGTCAACGGGATACCAATTCAACTAGCATGCAATATAATAGACTCATAAACCTACGAATGGTACCCGAAACATCAAACTAGACATAGGCACGATAAACGGAGTCCGTTGGGACACCACGGGGAACAGGGGAACATCAAACGGGGAAGCCGGGAACCCAAGGTGGGGGAAATTCCAGCGGGTAGCCGGTGGGTGGGGGCCACCCGCCGGCTGCTCGCCGAAAAGTACTGCTCCGGGCAGCGGGTCGCCGGCGAGCAGCTGCCCGCCCGCCGGCTACCCGCTGCCGGGCGGTGTTTCACGACCGTGGGTAGGTGGCGGGTCCCCTACCCCCCCACCTACCCCCCACTGACTCTTTTCATCACTTTTGCGCCCCGAGAACCATTGTGGAACCCGAAACCATGCTTAGACACCTTACAACGCAATTAACGACAACACGTAGACAATTAACGGATCAAATACGAGAAACGAATGGCACATAACCTATCATGCTTTTCTAGACATAATCAACACCCAAACATGCGATTTCCCCACCCCACAATCCAAGAATCATAACATACGATACAACCTAGGGTTCTAATCACTTTTATATCAACAAGGATACGATTTGTCTTCTAATTGCAAGATTCGGTAAGAATAACACATAACCATCAAGAGCATCACACAATTATCAAGAACAACACATAATCATCAAGAACTCCATATAATCATCAAGAACTCCATAATTATCAAGAATCTCCCAATATCAAGATTATCAAGATCCCTCATGGGATCATCACATCAAACATCAATAATCATCATCGTATCTCGCCAATCACAATAATATGGGGGAAACCCTAAGGGAGAATCATAGCTATGAAAATAGGTTTTGTTGAGACATGGGTTACCTCTTAGCCTTAATTAATTCCTTGGCAATGAAGGATCTTTCTTTAAGCTTTCTTGATTTCTTGATTTCTCCTAGGGGAATTCTTGGAGCTCTTTGGGTGGTGAGAGATTATTGTGGTGGGGATTCTAGGTGCCTCCTAATTTCCCTATTTATAGATCTAGGGATCTTATTTAGAGTCTAATCCTATTGGGATTAGGGGTTGGGTTTATATACGAGGGCCCACGGACTATGGTGGGCCTTTTTCCCTAATTAATCATTATAATTTATTCTTTCTCTTGGGCTATTGATTAATTAACTAATTGGTTTTAGGACTCGTAACACGGGGTGTTACACTCTCCTCCCCTTAACAGGAAGCTTCGTCCCCGAAGCTTGGCACTTGGTGAAAGGTTTTCTTTTAGTTACCTGGTGTGAAAAGCTCGGGATACCGCTCCTTCATTGTGTCCTTAAGTTCCCATGTTGCTTCCTTGGTCCCGTGGTTGGTCCAGAGGACTTTCACCATTTCTATGACTCGGTTCTGGGTGTTTCTTGTCTTGGTGTCCAGGATTCTTACGGGTTTCTCTTCGTATACTAGTGACTCGTCGAGGTCTACGACCTCGGGTTGGAGTACGTGGCTTGGGTCGTGTATGTATTTCTTTAGCTGAGATACGTGGAACACGTTGTGTACTCGTTCTAGTTCGATGGGTAAGGCGAGGCGGTAGGCCAAGTCCCCCATTTTCTCTACGATTTCGTAAGGGCCGATGAATCGGGGGCTGAGTTTTCCTTTTCTTCCGAACCTCATTACTCTTCGTGTGGGCGAGATCCTTAGCCAGACCTTGTCACCGAGGTTGAATTCGGCTTGTTTCCTCTTTAGGTCGGCGTAAGACTTCTGGCGGTCTTGGGCGGCCTTCATCCTTTCCTGGATGTGTTTGACCTTAGCTATGGTGTCTTGTAGGTATTGGGGGCCCAGTGTTACCGGGTTGACCATATCTTCCCAACATAAGGGGGTTCTACATTTCTGACCATATAGTGCTTCGTAGGGTGCCATGCGAATGCTCTCGTGGTAGCTGTTGTTGTATGAGAACTCGATGAGGTCTAGGTGTTCTTCCCATGTCCCTCGGAAGTCTAGCGTGTAGGCTCTTAGCATGTCCTCGAGGGTTTGGATGGTTCTCTCGGTTTGGCCGTCTGTGGTGGGGTGAAAGGCTGTGCTTAGTTTTAGTTGCGTCCCCAACGCCGATTGTAGCGATTTCCAGAATTGCGAGAGGAATCTGGAATCTCTATCGGACACAATGTTTCGGGGGACTCCGTGGTATTTCACTACCCGGTTTATGTAGGCTTGGGCTAGTTGCGTCATTGTCCATGTTTCCTTCATGGCAATGAATCGTGCTGTTTTGGTCAGCCGATCCACTATGACCCAGATTTTGTCCTTGCCGGTTCTTGTTGGGGGTAATCCTCCGACGAAGTCCATGGATATGGAATCCCATTTTCCTTGTGGTATTTCAAGGGGTTGCACGAGCCCCTTGGGCTTGCATCGTTCAGCCTTTACTCTTTGGCAATTCAGGCACCTGGCCACGAAATCTGCGATTTCCTTCTTCATGTTTGGCCACCAAAACGCCCTCCTTACGTCTTGGTATAACTTGTCACCTCCTGGGTGAACTGAGTACGGGGAGTTGTGCCCTTCCTCCAAGATCCGTTGTTTCAAGTGAGGGTGCGTTGAGGGTACACACCACCTTCCTTTGTAAAGGAGGCTGCCGTCCGGGCGTGCTTCGAAGGGGCCTTCCTTCCCTTGGGTTAGGGTCGTGGCGAATCTTATCTAGTTCCGGGTCCTGATGTTGCCCTGCCTTGATTTCCTCGAAGAGGGCGGGTATGGCTTGCGTGTTGAGTAGGTAGGCATTGGGGCGGGTTTGTCCTTGCTCTATTATTTCTCAGTGTAGTTTTTGGAAGTCCCTGTACAGTTGGTCCGGTAGGACCCACGTGGTGTTGAGGGAATGGTTCGTCTTTCGGCTTAGGGCGTCCGCAACGACGTTGGCTTTTCCCTCGTGGTATTGGATGTCTAGGTCGTAGTCTTTTATGAGTTCTAGCCACCTTCGTTGTCTCATGTTTAGGTCCTTTTGGGTGAAGATGTACTTTAAGCTTTTATGGTCGGTGTAGATTTTGCATTGTACCCCATACAGGTAGTGCCTCCAGATTTTTAGTGCGAATACGATATCGGCTAGTTCGAGGTCATGGGTGGGGTAATTCTCTTCGTGGGTTTTGAGTTGCCTGGATGCGTATGCTATTACCTTGCCCTTTTGCATCAGCACGCATCCCAACCCTTTCTTGGATGCGTCGCTGTAGACCTCGAATCCTTCCGTTCCGGAGGGGATGGCTAGCACGGGTGCCGTGGTTAGCTTGTCCTTTAATTCTTGGAAGGCTGAGATGCAGTCGTTGTCCCATCGGAAGGGGGTTTCCTTTTTCATGAGCTTAATGAGGGGTTGGGCTATCTTGGTGAAGTCGGGTACAAACCTCCTGTAGTAACCAGCCAGGCCCAGGAAGCTTCGGACTTCCGAGAGTGAGCTCGGCGTGGTCCATTCTCTAACGGTGCGAATCTTAGCGGGGTCCACCCTGATCCCCTCTTTGGTTATCACGTGGCCCAAGAAGGCTACGCTGTCTTGCCAGAATTCGCACTTGGAGAATTTAGCGTAAAGTTGGTTTTCTCTGAGGGTTTGCAGTGATATGCGAAGGTGCTTCTCATGTTCTTCTTTATTTCGGGAGTAGACTAGGATGTCGTCAATGAACACAATGACGAAGTCATCCAGGTGAGGTCGGAATACTCGATTCATGAGGTCCATGAATATGGCGGGCGCGTTAGTGAGGTCGAAGGGCATTACGGTAAACTCGTAGTGGCCGTAACGTGTCCGGAAGGCCGTTTTCT